TTCTAGTATGGAGTCACCCATGGATAGCTACCTGGAGACCAGTACTCTCGATCTGGAAGACCTCCAACATCGAGCAGCTCCGACAACGTCGCTACGGTCTAGGACATCATCTTCACCACAGTCGCCAAGGCGCGGGTTGATGGTATGGACCGGACGGAATGGAAAGACCAATATTTTCTTCGTGGACCCCGGACTGAAGGTGAGCGCTGGCGGTTACATTGGGCAACTCGTGAAGAATATCCTCCTCACATGTGGTCGCCCGTACCTTCTTGGAAACTTTGTACTGCTACAGCATTGAGTGCCACCACATGAAATCGAAGGGCGTTGGAGAAACACTCGCCTACTTGGAATGGAAGGGGGCTGAGTACCTAAAGAAGATGGAATATCCAAGTAGGTCACCTGACCTGAATCCCCTCAATTACCCGGTTCGGGCGGAGTTCAATAGGGTGGTCTACGGTGGCGGAGAAATCGACTATCTCGCTGATCTCAGGCACCACATCGCGGTCGCGTGCCAGAATCTCTCGATGGCGCTCGTCCAGAAGGCTGTGGCGGAGTGTCATGATAGTATTTAATATGCTCTTTAATATGGTGGTAGAAATGTCCGATCAGAATTTAATAAAGTGTAACTTATAGCGCCTCGAAAGTCAATGAAGGAAAGTGACTTTTTTGGCCCCCCTGCTCCAGTTCACTGCGGACGCATGGACGTGCCAGGCAGCGTTCAGACCTCGCGACGGCAGCGCTTCGGTCACGCGTTCGACGCGATCGATGCAGTCGAAAGCATGCGCATCGATCGCGCCAGACGAAACAGCGAGCGCTGCCGTGAAATCTGAATGCTGCCTCGGGGAGTATGAGTGTGTTACGCCGTCACAGCCGTTCTCTGCCTTCTTGTTGAAGAGCGCATGCGACAAAAAGTGGTAGAAAACGAGTAATACGAACGATATGATACAGTCATATCATTTGCTCGCTTTAACAACTGGTGGAGAACGGGTTTGGCACCGCGCCAAACTCATCCCGCCTGACACGCCTAACTGTCCGCAGTGAACAACATAGGTAAGTAACCAAAATCGGATTTTTTCGAGAGGACGTTCTCAGGTAACCAGGGCGGGTGCTAGGGTGAATGCAGAAGAGGCAGTGACATCCAGTCCATATCTTGAAGATGGGGTGGGATGTACTCTATCGGAAAAAGGGGTACATAACTTGCGTTTTTCTTTGGATATTTGAGACACCTGTCAACCCGTCTTGGGCTCAACAAAAACATGAACACAACTGTCCCGGAACGGCAACACCCCACCAAAATACCAGCTGCCATGTTTAAATGAACTACACAGCCACGCCGTCTCCATCTTCGGGATGTGGAACCTATAAGAGTGGAGGGACGTCACAAAATAACGTAAATGTCGAGAACGTGCTTTTTCTTCCTATGTGAGATGTATGTTGTTAAATGTGGTACACGTCCTTTCTGCGAGTTTTGAACCTATATCGTCCTCCCTTTTAGAAAAAAAAGTGTGGCTCAACTATAATGGATAGGAAGCAATTTCGAATAGTTTTTCATTTAAAAAACAGTCGAAAATTGAGCGAATTAGGGCGATCGAAAATTGAGCGAAATAGGCGAGAAGTTGTTATCCAGTCGCTCTGCTCTGTGGGCCTCTCCGGAGAAGGGACACCGTTTGGCTGACTGGTCCCTTCCCTCACAATGTTTCGCCAGATTGAACTATCTACTAGGGGAGACGGACAAGAGAATCGTAATTTGCCGCGCCGCCGCGCGCGGCGCACCGTTAGACCATGAGCGCAGGAAATTTTCATCGTGGGCGTCATGGAGCGGTTGGCGTGGGCAGTTCATGTTTTCTCACATACTCACGGTTTTTCGGCTATTTCCTACATCGCTTACTACTGTCATGGCTTACGATATGGAGCATCAAAACACTTCAGCACCCTGAGTAGTAACACACTTTCCCATCCCTTTAATATTTGAATTCGCATGTCTAGGCAGAAAAGCTTGGCGGCGGCGTCGCTCCTCGCGCCTGCCAGCGCAGCAAATTACGATTACGAAGTTTCTTCTTGTTAACTTTGACTTTTGAGTTCTTCAATGGCTTCAGCGACGACGTTGCCGTCGTCGACGTAATCCACGAAATGGGCGACTTTGTTGCGTAGATCAGATACGTATCGATCCCACGCAATAAACGTAACGGGCGTAACCGACGTCACCGACGTTTCCAGCAACAAACCTCAGAGGAAAGGATACCTATCGATCCGACGTAATCGCCCTGGCCGGCGTAATCGGCGACAACATTCCGAAAACTGGATACGTATCCATCCGACGTACCGACGTTTTCGGCGACTAGGTTTAGAAGAGTAGATACGTATCGACCGGGCATAATCGCCATGATCGACGTAACAGACGCAACCGGCGCCAGAGATTAAGTAGGTATCGACTGACGTCGGTTACGTCGGGTGGCCACGTATTCGGATCAATACGTATTTCATCTTCGCGAACTAGTCGCCGAAAACGTCGGTTACGTCGACTACGTCGGATTTTGATACAAGAGTCGTTTCAGGGCACTTGTCAACCGCGACACCTCTCTTCTCTTTCTCTTTCTCATTCCTTCCGTCCCCTCTTCCCTTACCTTCTCCCTCCAGATACTGGGCTAGAAGATGCCCTGAGAAAGTACCCCTGTACCCTTGCAGCGTCTGGTTGACAACAGCCCATATAATTTGAGAGCAAATGAAACAAACCTTGGAAATAAGCTTTCAGCTGTAAGGAACCACCAGAAATTTCCGAAAATTAGTAGTAAGTTTTCAGAAATCGCCCGCAAGAAACAGGGGGAGTGGAGGGAATACCCGAGCAACTGCAATATCTAAAAGGGAAAGCTTCACATGCTAAGCGATGTCAGATTCAATGAGGAGATAACAACAACTGAGGACTTCTACGTTTTACAGAACTTGTTTTTCGAACAATGACCTACGAGCAAGGTAGTGCAGGGGAAGTGAAAAAGCTTGAGAAGAAGCAAAAGAATGAATAAAACAGAGCACTCTGAGAATGGTGATGAAGCGCCAGCTGCATGAAGTGAAGTATCGATTGATCGGGTGTCAATCGTGCCGAGCACGTGTCTTTCACGTGACCACAATAAACACGTTCTAACATGCAAATGTTGGCACGTCGTTTCCTTCAGTGACAAGTTGCCACTGCTTTCTATTAGAATTCATTTTCATGTCAACGGCTGGGTGTTCGTTTCGGTAGTTGAAGGGGGTTGTGGGTGGAGTTGTGACACGCCATTATCTGATCGTTTGGGCCCTCTCGATGAGATATTATCCGGTAAATTCGATCAACGCCAGTGAAGAACTGGACAAGTGGTGAACTATAGTGTTGTGCAGAAACGGTAAGCCAATCAAACGTCTCGAAACAGCAAAAGAAATCCTCTTTTTTTGTGCAGATGGCAGAGCTGATGGCGCAATTCGCTGACGGGATGGGGCAACACCCCACAGTCATTAAGGGGAGGAGGGGCACCCTTTTTTCTGGGGGGGGGGTCGTACGAACTCTCCAATATTTCGCGACGTGATGCCTGACCCTGCCTAACGGGTCGACTACACCCGCGTCAAGGATTCCTCAGTGTACTCTTGATCCAGTTTCCAGCTACCCTAAAGTCCCAGTCGCTGTGCGGGCGAACATCAAATAGGACGCTGTAAACTAGAATCAGTTTGAATTCCGAAAGCAGTTTCCATAAGGGCATCTTCAGGTGATGATTGCAAAGAGAAACAGTAATTATTGGTCGATCGAAGAACTGTTTAGGGTAAGGGATAAAAGCTAGGAGCACACAGCGACGAATTCAGAGGGCCTTAGGCGATGAAAGTTTAAAGGCCGAGCCCGCATTCAAATTTGATGAGTTATGCGGCTCAGATAGTTATAACAAGGTAGCAAGTAACCCATTAGTGAAGAAAAATCAGAAAGAAATCATAGGAAAGGCCCTATATAGAACCCCTTGCTTAATTGAGGTTGTACGTGCTCAAGGCGAAGAGAAGGTGCGGTCGCACGAGTTCTCACTTGTTGATATCAGCTGTTTTCCCTTATCACCTCACTCTCACCACTCGACGTGGAGAGAAGCAGCAGCGAAACAACCGCACCATCAGGTAACCATTAGAAATGAATGGTGGGCGGTGCCAATGATTGTAGGTTGGTCAATGAGAGGAACGACGGCATCGTGACCTCACTCGTTTTTGCGCCGTAAAAGTGGTGTAATCGCTGACGCTCCAAAGAAGTTTCTGTCTGGTGATTTCGAAGAAACAGAATTGATTTCTATGACCTGCGCCGACTTTATGCCTCTGCGACCTGCGCTACCTGCTCACGAAAGGAAAGTCTTAAGCGAACGGCAGGAACACTCCCTATCAAACAACGGCACTCCAAGAATAGTTTCTGTCTGGTAGATTTGAAGAAAGAGATATGATCTGTGACCTGGGCCGACTTTTCAATACAGAGATCCTTTTTAAGCTGGGTAAAAAGAGAGAACGACATTCTCGAACGGTTCCTAAGATTTTTTCCATATTTTGCTCTCGAGCAGGGGGCGGGGCACGAAAAGTCGATATTTCTCAGAAGACAAATACGATCCCCCCCCCCCTCCCCCAATCCTCCTGTTCGGAATCCCCAATGGTGATGGGTCCTGAGTGGGAGTTGTTGGGGGTTATAAAGATGGCGTTGCCGATGTTGGAGAAGAAGGTCGCGTAGGCGTCGCGCTCGAGGACGTCACAAACCTCTGCCTTGGCGTAGGCCCTTTCCCATGCCTTCAACAGTAGCAGTGCGGTGTTCCTCGTGGAATCCTCACGAAGCTACTACTGCAGTACGTTTTTCTGCCACATCGCCTTAAATTGTTCACAAGACCGATCAGCTCGTCAGCAATGCCGAAATCCACGAAGAGAGTGCTGTGATAAACCCTTCAGTCGTATCAATCGAGAATGTTCGTAAACATATCAGGGTGAATGGAGTGGTTTCTCATTCTTGACAGATTCGCATGACAGGTTGGTCCTTCGAGTCATTATTCTCTCTCCCTTTGGGATTCCTCTTCAGGAGGTATAGCTATCGCTTCTGATCAACTAGTTACCATCCAGTGGAAAGATGTGAAGGTAACGGCAAAAAGTGGTCGGCAGATATTGCAAAATGTCAGCGGAATCGCTGTCCCGAGGGAAATGATTGCTCTCATGGGTGCCAGGTATGAGACAAGAATTCCATAGCAGCACCAGTAGATTGACTCTTCTTTTCAGTGGAGCGGGCAAGACTACTCTTTTGAACGCACTCCTGGAACGGAATCTCAGCGGTTTGAGCGTTGAAGGCACCGTACTGGTGAATGGACAGAATATTGGCAGAGGAGTGACCAGTGTATCGGCCTACGTGCAACAAGAGGATTTATTTGTGGGCACCCTCACGGTACTAATGTGTTCCACTCCAATTAACCGGTTAAGCCGTGCAGTCACCTCCGAAAACGGTACCTGACATGCACGAGAATAGCGCGCTGGCAGCTATATAGGCGTAATACTTTCGGCGCTTGGGTGCTCGTGGAAATGAGGCTGAAGGGTGGTGACATTCGGTGCTACCACGACACTTGCATCGATACCAAAATCCCGCGACGAACTTGCAGCCAGAGCTAGAGAATACGCAGAAGTGAGAGAGCGCAGACATGTGGCGCGTTTGGCTATGGTTAGGCGCGTGGCTGGCAGTGCGACAGCGCGAGCGGAGTCCCAGACCTCCCGGATATCACTAGCATGTTGCCCCATTCCCGCGTACATTTCACCGGAGAAAGGCACGTTACTGCAGCTGCGGACCCATTCACCATTGCACACGGACTGTGTCGTCCTCGGAATCAAGTGTACAGTTTGTCTTCAACGTCTTCGCATGGATTGGACTGCCAGTTGGTGCTGAGATCACTTTTACCTTTGAGAATGGCAGAACTACGCGTTTGTAGGCTGCGTTCAGACCTAGCGCTTGAACGATTTCAAGAATCGGCGACTTTGAAGTGTGGAGAAAGGGCACACGCTCACAGACAAAACGTCACAGAATTAGCCCCACCTTTGCTGCCCGTATACTGCTGATGGTCGGGTAGAGAAAACTCGACAGTGGCCCGCGTGCCGAGTGATGTCGCTGCGATACTACGGTGAAGGACTGGCTTTGACAGGCACTACATCAACTGCGATTCGATAGACTAGCTCTATGTCACCTGTTCCCCTTCATTCGGAGAGAGCGACCGCTAGCAAACAGAAAGCCACTTTGTGTTGAAATATTGGTAACCCATTGTTTGCGTTGTGATAGCAACCCATTCTGCAATCAGGGCATTCAGTCAGTCAGTCTGAGTCACGGTGCTCCCTTGGCAGAGGAAGGGGAGCAAATCTTGAAGTAAACGACCGCTGGCAAGGGTGAGAAGCGATTAGAGCTTCAGGCAACAATCCGGTGGTAGGACTTCTGCAGGAAATAGGAAAAGGTGCGTATAGGCTGACGGGTGACAAACAATGGTTTTCAAAACAGCACAAACTCGGAAAGAAGCCATCTTGATTCTACAGAAGACACAAAATCTCTGCAGTTAACATCGTGCTTTTGCACTATACTGCGAGCAAGAAACTGCAGTGGCCTAAATGAGTATTTTGGGTCAAGCACAAGCCAACTTGTCCCACTTTCCAATACACCTCAGGAGTGTTCTGCAGTGCGTCCTGACGAGACATCCGTACCCATCACACAGGCTCCATATCAGACCGGACCCACATGAGCGAGCTTCAGTGTGATCATTTTTCTTGGTGCATCACTTCAGTTTAGAAATGTGCGAAGTGAAAAGGTGGCGCTAGTA